GCTGGCGCCACAAGGTCATGATGTCCTTGTGAACGTTATATTCGCGAGGCAAATGGCTGTGCGCTGCGAGCTCACTCATCAGCCATGTGCATGAGGTGCGAGGCTGGGGGGACTTCGTGATCGCAGCTGCCGGATTTTTTTTTTCCACGAGGCCGAAAAGATGGACGAGGCCAGACAGCTGTAAGGTATTTACACTATAGCATATATGCGACTGACGGTAGATTGCGCTGATGCATGATGCGAAATCATTGTCGCGATGTTCTGGAAGAATTTAGACTCCAGGCGACGGGCTGTGGTCGCATGAAAGGCGAAGCAGTGCAAAGCTGTGCGAGGCCCACTCGATCGTGTCCATGATACCTGCCACCGAGGGACCCATTGATGTCGCTTGTAGTGCCGAGAAGGTGCAGACTTCTGCGCACGTTTCCTTTCAAATGTCCAGAACATATGCTTGCGGTGGACGGCATGCGTGTTTGGACGTTCATACGATCGGGCCGCCAAACGTTGACGCGTGCTAACCGCTGCCGACGCCCGCTGCTCCCTCGCGGGCGAATGTCCTTGTAAATCTTGTATCCACGGGGCAAGTGGCTGTGCGCTGCCGCGAGATAGAGGCGCAGGTGCGTCGTCCACCGTTCAGCGCTTCAGCCTCGTATACCTCCTTCGCCCTCACATCCTCGTATCCTGCGGTCTTATACGCATCTGCCTCGTCGACTTGGAAGATGTCGCGCGCCACTGGAGCTGATCTACCCCCTGAAGTACTGTCTGACATTCTCAGGCGTGTCCCGCGACATTATCCCGCTGATGATTTAGACATACGTCGCAAGTCCAAGCGCAGGCTCGTAGGGCCTGCCCTCGTATGCAAGCACTGGTCCGAAGCCATCAGACCTATCCTCTTCCGACAACTCGAGTTGCGCAGCGCCGAAGACGTACGCTTCCTCAAGAGCATCGTCAGCAGCCCCGAATTTGCAGCTTCATCTCTGTCCGGGTCCATCAAGGAGATACATATCCGTCAAGAAGCTACGGGAGCTAAGCCCTGGCTTCACCATGTCCACGGACTTTCAACCCGACTCCGGAAGACAGCATTCGTGTGTGTTGTCAAGAATCACACGGACGATGCTGCATCAACAGCCGGCCGCTGGGCCCCATTCGAGTCGATACCCACCGTCACTCCATCCTATGTCCGACTTTCCGATCTCACTCTTCGCGGTGTTGTATTCACGAGCAAGACCGAGCTCATACGGCTCGTCCACAATTTCCCCACGCTCAAAATCTGCACGTGCAAGGGACTCGCCTTCCTTGACCCGTCGCCAGCTGTCCGCCCACGCAGACTCCGCCGACGTTCTCCACCGGCCCGCCACTCCTTCAAATGTATGATAAGTGATTGTAAGGACATGGTATGTTCCAATCAAGCGGCGCTTGCTGCAGACATCGCGGACCCTGCGCGCCACATGGGCCTTGACGACCGCACATGGGACACAACCCTCCAGGGACTACTTGCGTTGGCGCCAAACAGACCAGGGCTGGCGGTTGTGGGCGGCGATGTGACTGGTAGATATTCTAATTTATGCAAATAGTGCAAAGCTCACTGGCGGACCCTCACCAGACACGGTGCGGATCCATTGCTCTTCATCCAGCCCAGGTCAGCCTGCGCGCCACGTCATCGTCGCTACAGTTAGGTTTTGCCAATCAAGTGTGGGCCAGGATGCGGGGCCTCCACTCGCGCATATCGAGAGCATCGATCTCGATCTCCAACTTGGTGATGTCGGAGTTGCGGACACCCTTCCTTGGGACGGCTTGCAAGCCGTTCTTGATTCTCCGCACATGCGCCGCCTTCGTATCGCTTACGATAGGCTGGGGAACACAAAATTCGAGGTCACGAAAAGGATCTTGTGCTCTGTGCTACGCCGCTCGCAGCTAACCTGGGCTCTAGAATCAGACATACTGCAATTTAAGACGCGCTACTCCGTTGAAGGGCTCGTTACGAGTGCAGACATCTTGTCGGTACCGACCGAGCACACCATCGACGGCACCACGATCACTCTCGACATCGCCGAACAAGCCGAGTGGTTGCTGCGCCCGGTCCACGCTCGCTCTGGAAGGGAAGCAAATGGAAGCAGGGAGCATTACTTGCGAGAGCTCGTAACGAACCGCCCGAGCGTGTCACAAATTCGCCCCATACAAGCGCCTATTATATTCTTAGCGCTCATCATCGCGCTAAACACGATCACGTGACCTACACGGTCACATGCATATCACGAGACCTAGATCATCATATAGATATGATGGGATCAGTAGATAAGATAACCACAAGTCCAGAACTCGTTCTAGACCAGTCACATGTCATGACATCATGGATGATGTCACCTGGTGGATAGCTTAGCCTAATGGAGATACTCCAACAGTCATTATTCCTCGTATTACTAAACATAATGGTAGTGTATTAGTAACGAGTCACGAGTAGTCACATGAGCACTTAGTAATGTAGAGTACCATAGGTCCTACGTAGTGTCAGGGGTCTTAGATTACTTGTATATAAGGAGCGTCGTCTGAGGCTTAAGACCTCAGACTCAACAACTTCGTTGATTCTTAGTATCTGCACCTCTCTCTACTTACACCCCTCGACTTCAAGTCCTACCCTTCAAGTCTAACAGTAAGGTGAGTATAGGAGTTGTGATAGTTTGTTGAGTCTACTGCTTGGTCGTAAAGCAAATGCTTTACGTTTCTTTTCTCTTTGTACAGACGGGCCGGGGCACCCTTCCAAGGATGACCGGCTGTGTTGGAGTCTGTCCAGACACGGACGATTGGGTGGAGTCGTCGACTCACTCGATCATGCACGTCACCGTTGTCATGAACGGTAATCGAATAGTCTCGACCCGCTCAGAAGTACATGTACTCTGAGGTGCTGACATCTGGCACACGGGAAGGACATTGTCGGGCCGTAGACGTAAGCGGCAGTGTTAAAACGCTCACGCGTGGAAACATATGACTGAGGACGCGGGCCTAACACCCCTGAATAAACGTCGCTCACCCAGTACTTGTCTTCGGACATGTGGACAGGGAAAGTCATATGGACACTTTTCGTGTTCTGGACCAAAAGGACCTTCTAAAGGAAGGTTTTCTACTTTGCTCTACGGGTGGAACCGTAGAGAGATTCCATGCTGCATACCAGCGGCTACACCAGCGGTAGTGAGAGAAACTACCCTGACGTCGACACAAAGAGATCGGACTCATGTCCCTCATTTTTACTCACTCAGCACTTAAGTTGAAGAAGTGCTGATCCTTTCACCTCTATAAGGATGTTGTCACCCAACGCACAGTTCTGGTACGATACTTACGGCATCTTTCCGGGGAAACCCTCGGATTATAGAGAACCCAGGCACTCTGCCAAAAGAAGTTATCAAAAGAAACCTCGTCCACCACCTCAGGTGAGTCCTAAAGCTGTTCCCAAAGGGAATAGGCAGAGGGCTGCCAAGACGATGGTTTTGATTAACTTGGGGTTCTTCTAGTATGCCCAAGTACACCAGCAAGAACTTCGTCGTCGCAAAGAACGAGTCTTCGGGCGTTCCCCTTTTGGAACGTATTCAACTTTTGCCCGAAAATGAACGCAAATTCAAAAACATCGGAAAACCTGCAAAACGGTACCAACCGTACGCTAACAAGCCCATTGCCCACAAGCCGCTCGCACTCGAACGTCGCCTCGAGTTACTCGACGAGGCGAAGGAAGAAGCCCAACGACGTCAGCAAGCTGCTGACGATCTACTCAAACAACGACGCGCGGAAGCCAAGGAAATTGGTACGCGTCGAGCTTATAATGACCTTGTACGCTCATGCCCGGATCTCTTCGCGTCTGAGGGGGAAAATTTCCTCCTGTGGATTAAAGAGATCAAAGAGACTTCAGTAAGCCTTAAAAAGCTTAAATTCATGAAGAAGGGGATTCTTCGCCGCTGCGAGGAACTCCTCCCCACTCTCGTCGCCGTAAACAAGCGGTTCTTCGCAACGCACGACCATTTGGTTGATGCGGAGGAACTTGCAAAGGCCGGGAAAGGGTCACTTGCTATCGAGCAAGTGCATGATTTACTGAAGCTCTTAGACGGGCTTAGCTACATCAAAGAGGTCGTCGAAGACAAAGAGCTCGATATTGTCGAATGGGGCAATACGGAGTGGAGGCGGATCAGCGGGCTTTGCAAGCGGTTGAAAAAGGTACACACAGAAGACACAGACTTTTATGACATTTGTAAAGCACTGTTAGACAGGAACTACACCATACCGGTGCGGTTCAAAGCTTACAGTAAAGAAGCAGATGATTTCGTCTGGTACAAAGGTGTATAAATAGTTTTTTCCTTTTGTTAAAATATTACGACGAATGTTCTTTGCGCACAAACAACATCGAGAGTTTATCTTGAGTTTTGAAAACATAAACTGGTATCTAATAAATAAATTAGAATGTCTCTCCACAACACCCCGACTCCAGTTCAGTCCCGCGCACCTTCTCGCGCACCATCTCGGGCCTCTCACGTACCCGAGGTGAGACACTGGATTCCGTCCTTGCCATCGGCAATGACCCCAGGAAACGAAGTCGAATTCCAAAGGGCTTTAGTTCAAAATGACGTAAACCTGGCCACCACTACGTTAGGTACAGGTGACGGCTTCAGAGTTCTTAGGAACTTAGCCAATTACACGTTTACGCAAGCACAAAATACTATGCGTTCTACCCTAAACTTGGTAGTACAATATGTAAACTACGAAGGAATGCAGTTAGACCAAGTCTTGTCCGACATGCACAACGAGTTTACCAGCCTTAAAGACGAAAATATTATCGCCATAGAAACCGTTGGACGAATAAATACGGTTATCGATACTTTGTCAAAACAAAACATGGACTATCTTGTGCGTATACAAGCACTAGAAAGACAGTTGAAGGATTTGCCACAAAGTACCGGAAATAATTCGAGAAATGTCAAAATGCCCGAACCACCACTTTTCCAAGGAACGGAGAGTAAAATCACGTTGGATCAGTGGTTGGATCAAATTGCGCTGTACACTGCAGCCAATGGTGTCGTCACGGATCATCAAAGGATATTGATGGCCTTAGCAAGAGTTCGAGCTCCGGCATCGGACTACTTGGCCGACTATTTCCAAAATATGCGTGAAGACAAAGGGCTAGGCACTTGGGCAAACTTTGTCACAAATATCTCGAATATTTACGGACAAAAGGATCGAAAGGCTGGTGCCAGGGATGAAATAGACGCAATGTGGAAGAATACTTCGCTCATCAAGAGTGACTTCCTCAAGTTTGCGGAACAATATAAGACACTAGCTAGACTAGTGGACTATCAAGATAGCCTGCACATTGAGAAGATTGAAGCGATACTTCCCAAAGAATTAGTACAGGCTACCATTGAAAGACGTCTCAATAACAACTTGCCGACAACTTGGGACGAATATATCAAACATATGGCTGATATCTGGCGTGCTCTGCATGCAGATAAAATTAAAGAGTCAGTGTTTGGAGGCAAGAAAACCTCGGATCCTAATGCCATGGAGGTGGATACCGCCGAACGGGCTCAAGGAAAAGCCAAACAACAGGCGAATTCGCAGCAGACAGTTAAAAAATACTGTCAACATTGTGCCAAGGAAAATAAGTCTAAGGCCAAAACACACAATACTGCAGATTGTTGGCTTAAAAACCCAGAAAAAGCGCCAAAACGCACGGCGAAAACAGGATCACAGCAGACTACAGGGACTACGGCACCAAAGCCGAGTACACAGCCTGCGAGTAATAGACAAGCCAATCAAGGGCGGGGATATAACCAAGACCGATACCGTCAAATGCAAGTTTGCATGATGCAACTTATGACGGACCTCAATCAGTTGTCAGTGGATGAACCTCCATCAACCGAAGTGACAACTACTGCGAGTATCGTTGAAATTGAAGAACCCGTCGCTTCGTCTTCGAAGGTCACCTTGGACGG